TTTAAGAAAAATCGCGCGGCTACTGTTTTCACGCGAATTACACGAATACCCAGCTTTTGTTCATCTTGTTCCTTATATGGATATCCCTTTCTTTCTTCCCCCCCCCCCGAGACGTACAATTGATAGAAACTGATGCTCGGTTTTGTGATCAATCGAAAGCTAATAACGATATAATTTTTATATATGAAATTAAGAAATAAACGTTTGCGTATTATAATTTGAGCGTACCAGATTTTTCTTCATCCGTATTTTACTCGTCCTTCTAAGAAATGAAATCAAAACCTCTATTTTTACGATAGATCCTTCTCTGTATTTCGCGAAATTCTGGTAAATCACGTGTGAATTAAGTCAGGACGAATTACATCTTTGGATTCGATTAGAATCCAGCAGCTAATCACAGTTTAAACTTCGACGATCTATTTTTATCAGACTTATTCATTTCTTCCTTCAGTGGGTGTAGGTGTAGTGAAAAAACCAACGTGCGAGGAAACGTTTGTTTAGTAGATTTATTAGATCCTTTAAAATATTTGAAACAGCGTGCGGCTCTTGTTATTTGGCGTAACAGTGAGATATCGTTAATAAGGTACACAGTACGAAGCTCAAGGAGAGCGAAGCGATCAAGATCGATTTAAAATTCACAATTGAACGGTTCCTTCTCGCGGTCTCGACCGAAACGAGAATCAAAATTCGACGAGAATTCCGCTTTAACTGACAACGAGAGTCGTTCGAAAAATCGCAAGCGCGAGTTCTTACGTATGTTTCGTTCGTGCGTTCGCCAAAATGGCGTATACGCGGTCCTAATAGCTATTACTATCGATCGTCGTCGTCATATCCCATAGTGAGATATGCACGTTATAACGTAATTTCGAATATATCGAATTTATTGTGGTGCTGGTTCCTCTTAACTCTTACGTTACTTTACATTGAGAAATATGGTGCGTGACTTGTTAGATTAGACGAGAGAGAGAGTAAAATCGAAAAATCCATATACGTTAGAAGAAGAAATCGATTATCGATCGGTCGCATATTCTTTTTTTTCTTTTTTCTTTTTTTTTTTTTTTCTTACATTGACGCAGACGACCGACGTACATCAAAACGGCTCGATTACAGCCTAATCAACCGAGAGAATCGACGTTTCGTCTCAGAGAAGGAGCACGATCGTTGTAGCGATTGTTACTCTACGTTCCTTAATCAAGAGGATTGTTTTATCAGAATCGTCGTGTCTGCGTTTCTCTCTTTCGTGCCTCGCGAAACATTCGCGCAGGTTCGCAAAGATTTATCGGTAGACACGTTGCTTCCTTAACGAAGGAAGTTAAGACGACGCGCCGTTTGTTGAGACTTGCACGAAACGCGAGCTGGTTCCTTCGCGTTCACGTTACACGTCGCGTCGTTTATTTTCCTTGCTAGCAGGATGTTCGAAAACAGCGCCACGACACAGATTTTTTTTTTTGTTGTTGTTCAACGATCAATCATACCGTCTTAATTGAAGAAGACAGAGTAATGAAAAGAAAATTGTTCCTTGCTGCGATAATATGTAATTCGATATGGTCGTTGCTTCGAACTGGTAGAAGAAGGTAACCGTTTAATCTCTCGAGTAACATAAAATCACATCAGGCGTATCTACGGATCTTACGATTAGGGCTTGTTGCTCGAAAAAGTTCCTCTGACATTGACATTGAAAGAGATAACGCGCGTTGCGACGTTAGTAGGTTAAAATTGGCGCCGCTGCCTCCAGTTAGACAGTGGCGCACTCTGTCGGTTCGAAACGCAACAATCTTCCGCGCTGGCGCCAGTTTCGAAATTTCCTGCGCCTTCTCTCTCGCGCTCTACGCTTCCATCTTTCACGCTCGACTCGATTCGAACAAGACGCAAGAAGAAAATTCGGACATCTCGGGCAAGAAGAGATTCTTCTTCCGGCTCGAACAACATCTGATCGAGTTTCGATCCGCGATAATCGCACCCGGAGTACGTGCCGCAGAGTGAATATCAAAGGAGAGGAAAAGAGTGCGAGACGAAGTGCGGGTCCGACAATCGATGACTCGACGTTGATTCGTTCTATCTAACACAGACACGAAAATAGGTGAGATCCTAGTAGCCCGGGGACAGCACCTCCTCCTCTTCGTCCTCCTCGTCGTCGTCGATGCCTGGCTCGCCGAGCGCGTGCACGAATTCTAGAAACAGAAATACCCTCTGGTGAGGTTTCGGCGACCGCCACGTGCCACAAACACGCCGCAAAAATAAATAGGCCTGCCAATACGATCTACGTGCGGAACG